TACTAAAACAAATTATTATTGTTATTATTATTATTATTATTATTAAAAGTAAAGTTTGTCTGTTGAACTGTTGTGTATTTTAGACGGCCTCACCCCAATGGCAGAGCTGAATGCTTCCCTGACCTCGCAGCCCTCGGCCACCGCTGTTGATGTGGACTCGGACATTGACTTTGACCTGGGTGACCTCAGCTTCTTCAACAACCTGACCACGCTGCAGAACACCACGTCGGCCGACCTTGACCTGGTGCAGGTCAACGACATGTTCATGGACATGCCCAGCGGCGAGGGAGCGGCCGTCGTCTCGGCTTCGACCTCTACTGGCGTGGTGGATGCCCCGAATACCTTGAGTGAAGGTCAGTGGCTGGGTGTTTGTTTGTGTTGTTGATTCTGTGTGCGTGTGTGTGTGTGTTTGAGTGAAAGTATGTGTGTGTTTGAGTGAAAGTGTGTGTGTGTTTGAGTGAAAGTGTGAGTGTGTTTGAGTGAAAGTGTGTGTGTGTGTGTGTTTGAGTGAAAGTGTGTGTGAATGAGTGAGAGAGAGAGAGAGTGTATGTTTTAGTGTTTGAGAGAAAGGTGTGTGTTTGAGTATGTCTAAGAGAGAGAGAGAAAGAAAGAGTGTATATATGAGAGAGAGAGAAAGAAAGAGTGTATATATGAGAGAGAGAGAAAGAAAGAGTGTATATAAGAGAGAGAGAGAGAAAGAAAGAGTATATATATGAGAGAGAGAGAAAGAAAGAGTATATATATTTTTGAGAGAGAGAGAAAGAAAGAGTATATATATTTTTGAGAGAGAGAGAAAGAAAGAGTAGGGGCCTATATATATATGAGAGAGAGAGAAAGAAAGAAAGAGTATATATATGAGAGAGAGAAAGAAAGAAAGAGTATATATATGAGAGAGAGAGAAAGAAAGAGTATATATATGAGAGAGAGAGAAAGAAAGAAAGAGTATATATAAGAGAGAGAGAGAGAGAGAAAGAAAGAGTATATATATGAGAGAGAGAGAAAGAAAGAGTGTACATATGAGAGAGAAAGAGAAACAGAGAGACTCATAGGTTTGGTTGAAGAAAGCTTTTTTGTCTTTGTCTTCATCAGTTTTTGTTGATCCCTGATTTTTCTTTCTCATCATTGTGGGTGGTTTGCTCATTCTTTCCTTTCAAACAGCTGTCTTCCTTTTCTCTTTTCCTCCTTTTTTGTGTATGTTATTCTCTTGTGACACATCTATTCTTGGACACTTTTGAGAACTTATTGTGTTACAAGTGCCGTAAAACTCTTACTAAAACTAAACTCTTCCTGTGGGTGGTTGGCGGGTGCTCTGGTGTGGTTTGCTCCTTCTTTCCTATCAAACATCTATCGTCCTTATCTCCCCTTCTTCTTTTTTATGTTTGTTAGTCTCATGTAACACCTCTAATCTTCTGGCGCTCATATGACCTGATGCAGTTGTGAGCGCCGTAAAACTCTTACTAAAACTAAAAACTGAACTCTTCCTCACCCGGTGAACAACTTCTTCTGACAATGCCTCGTGTCCCTCCTCTGTCCTCCAGGTATGGATAGTCTGCAGATGCTGGAGGATGAATTCAACGACTCTGCCCTCTCTCTGTCGGGCTCCTCGCCCCGTGATGTGAGTACCATCTGAACTCTTCTGTGTGTCTTTGTTGATCGTAGTGTGCGGGCGGGCGGGTGGTTGGAGGGCGCCCACTGCTAGGTCCTACTACTTGTTTTTTTTTTTCGTTTTGTTGTTTCTGTCTATTTGACGCTCTTCTGCTTCCCGGCACGATATGAGGTAGTGGTTGGCGGGTGCTCTTGTGTGGTTTTCTCCTTCTTTCCTACCTAGCATCTCTATCCTCCTTATCTCTCCTTGTCTTCTTTTTTGTGTTTGTTACTCTCTGGTAACATCTTTAATCTTCGGCACTTCTATGACCTTATTGTGTTGCAAGTGCTGTAAAACTAAACTCTCATCCTTCTTTTTTTTTTTTTGTTGTGTTTGTTACTCTTTTTTAGCACCTCTAATGTCCGGCACTGACATCATCTAATGTGTTGCAAGTGCCGTAAAACTCTTTAACTAAAACTAAAATAAGTTTCAGCCATTGTGTTGGTGGTCTTTAATCTTTGTGTTACTCACACTGAAGCATGGTTGCCTGTGAACTAAAGCTCAATGAACTGCACTGTGCCACTATTGTTGACTCTTGTGTGGGTGGATCTGCTTTCAATTCAAAACGGACCCATTCGTCCTACACCGTAGCATGTGGGTGGTTGGCGGGTGCTCTGGTGTGGTTTGCTCCTTCTTTCCTATCAAACATCTGTCATCCTTATCTCTCCTCCCTTCTTTTTTTGTGTGTGTTTGTTACTCTCTTGTAACACATAATCTATGCTTCGGCCCTTTTATGTCTTTATTGTGTTGCAAGTGCAGTAAAACTCTTACTCTAACCAAAAGCACCTTAGCATACAGTCAGGCCGTGGAATAGGTAGAGCCTTGCGGGTCAAGTCTGTAAAAGGACACCGCCAGAAGAGAGAGAGAGAGAGAGTGTTAAGTTGCTAATGTTATGTCAGTCCAGAAATCAGATACATTTGGAGTCTGCTGCTTTCCCTCCCGCCAGGGAAATCCTATCTCGCCTGACCCGTTGAGCTCGGTCTCAAAACGGCATTATTTGTTCAATAATTTTTGCATGTGGTTTGGGGTAGGTCTCAAAACGGTATTATTTGTTCCATAATGACAGATACTTTGCATGTGGTTTGACTGCTTTTTGTGGCCGGTTATTCTGGTGTGGTTTGCTTCTTCTTATTCTTTCCTATCACACATCTATTGTCTTTATCTTCCCTCGTTCTTTTTTGTGTTTGTTACTCTCTTGTAACACCTCTAATCTCCAGCACGTGTATGATGAATTGTGTTGTTACAAGTGCCATAAAACTCTTACTAAAACAGAGGTTGTAGTTCGTTGGAGGATCCCACTGATGGGCCCCAACTTCTTTGCTATTCCTCCGTTGTTTCTGCCTCTCATGTCTTTTCCTCTCGCTATGTGTTAGTGATTGTGTCTATTCGTTCCTTTAGAACCCTAAGTAGCACACATTCTTGTGGTCCTGTGTAGAAGAGACGTTGGTAGTCCAGTGGTTAGGATCTCAGACCCATAATGAAGGGGATTGCTGGTTTCGGGGTTCGAGCCTCAACTCGGTCTGGCATTGGATCCTTGGGAAAGGCAACATAGCATGAATTTCCTATTTGGTTTTGGTCCTTTCGGAGATGGACAAGATTTGATCAAACTCGGAGCCCCCGCCTCTGAAAGAACCCTCGAGTGTACCATTTCACAAGGTTTTTTTTTGTGAGGGAGAAGAGGCCGCGGCAGCTGTTTGGTGTAGATGATCTAGGGTGTCGGAGAATGGTCTCCTGTTTCAGGTGGGTGGTTGGCAGGTGCTCTTGTGTAGTTTGCTCATTTTTTCCCACCTGTCAAACTAATCAAAACATCTATCTTTCTTATCTCTCCTCCTCCTCCTCCTTTTATAAATTTGTATTTTACTCATGGGTGCTTTGTCTGGTATGGTTTGCTCCTCTTTTCCTATCAAAGAACTGGCATCCTTATCTCGCTTCTTTTTTGTTGTTGTTGTATTTATCTGTTATAACACTTCTAGTCTTTGGTACTTATTATATTATATGATCTAATTGTGCTGCAAGAGCCGTAAAACTCCTACAAAAAACAAATTTTTGACACATATTTTACTTCCTAGAACACCTCTAATCATCGGCATTTATGTGTTCTAACTGCGTTGCAAGTGTTGTCAAACTCTTTCTAAAACAAGCAAATTAAAGAGGATGGAGTTGTTGAATTGTGTGATAACTTGATGGGTTTAAAAAAAACAAAACAGAAATCAGTATTTTCACTTTTGGGTAAAAAAAATCGCACTTGTCTGTTCCATGACATAGCAGTTACGTGACTCTGTCTCAGTCAACCCC